TTTGCATTTATATATTTATAGTATGTGTAGTTGTAAAATGATTAAAATATTTTCAATATCAAATTTTTAAGTTTATCGCCTATATAAAAAATATATTTCTATGATTTTCTATATTCCAATATATTATAAAAAAATTGATATTGATATATTTGAACTCAAGTTTTTTACGTGATTAAATATTCTTGCATTGAGCCATCATACGTTACTCGTAAGTTCTTTCACGTCATAAGTACTTATGTAGCAGAGAGAAAGAAATGAGAGTTATACAATGTAACATCAATAATCTTATATATTATAATCTTATATATTATATATATATAATATTTCATTTATTTATAAAAACATTTTATAAATAAGTAAAATATTATACAGACAATGTACAAGATGTTCAGTTTGTGCCATAACAAGCTTCAATCAATAATTATTACTCCAATGAGTATAATTCACAATAATTTTTATATAATATAATAAGTATTTGAATATATAAAAATATTTTTAAAAATTTGTTTTAAAAATTAATTGAAAAAGAATATTTAAAATATTTTTTTATATTTAAAATATTCTTTTCCTCAATTAATCTTAAAAAAAATATTTTTAAATATTTAAAAATATTTAAAAATACTATATATTATATAAAAATAATTGTTGATTATTATATTGGATTATTAATTGAATGAAGCTAGAGCTTTTAATATGGCTTTTAATACTGCTTGACAAGGAGAGAGCATCATTCCATCTTTGTCTCTCTTACATCGCATATGTAGTAGCGTCCATGTAGGTACAAACACTAAAAAATATTAAATTTAATTTTTTTATTGTTTTGAATAATTTTATCATTAATATACTTATTTTCAGAACTATTTCAATTTTTATTTCATACTTATGTTTATATAAATTATAAATTAAAAACATATCAAAAATGTAATATATATTAATAAAATGCAAATACATATAGAAAATTAATTATAAAATGTCATCTTAAAATAGTTTTTATTTTTGTTCTTTATTTACATATGCATACATATACAAAAAAATAAAAATAATATGATAGCCTTTTTGCTGACATTATCTCTCAATATTTGCATCCGTGTGCTCACGTATTAGTGTTTGTACCTACATGGACGCTACTACATATGCGATGTAAGAGAGACAAAGATGGAATGATGCTCTCTCCTTGTCAAGCAGTCAGCATGTTACCACAGAAATTTCCCCTGCTCCTTATGAATCTAGTGAGAATCTTATCGTCCAGATATTTCATAAAATAAGTGACATAACTTCGTGAATTTTTTTTTAATATATTCTTTATATAATAAAGCAGTCCTCTAAAAGGCCGGATTTTACATTTTCGCTCTTAAAAATTTATAATAAATAAAATACGGACTCGCGGCTAACCCAACCTTACCCGTTCCTAGCTGTGCATTCCCCCAAGTTTATTAAAAATTTTTATTTTTATCTTTTTTTCATAAAATAGCTCTTTAGAGGACTACAAATGAGCTTACTGATTAAGAATATCCTAAATTTAATAAGATTTATTCAATATTTTCGCTAATATCTGGAAAATAAGAATCCGTAATTCCCGGCCGGCCGATAGGCGTCTCCACCATATCGCCTGCCGACCCTTAGTATTTTGGCTAATATATGGGATGAACGAATCCGTAATTCCCGGCCGGCCGATAGGCGTCTCCACCATGTCGCCTGTCGACCCTTAAGGGTCGACAGGTCGGTCGGCCAAACTCCGAATTGATGTTGGAGACCTCGCGCGGTGACAACGCGAAACTCCGATTTCAGTGTTGCCAACGCCGAGAAACCAATTCTCGGGTTTTATGTAGTCTTTCTTATACTGTGGTAGTGGTGCATGTCTGTACACGTACATACACCATTGCATTGCTCACGCGGACGCACCGTAGAGAGACAAGGACCGATAATCACGTGTTCTCCTTGTTCCTCTACCGTGCCGGTATACGCGAGATGCCGCCTGAAAATGCTTTCTGGCCTTCCGTAGCAGAAGGCAGTAGCGTAGCAAGGCTAATAAGTACCTACTTTTTATAAATTTTATATATCCTTATGCACATATGTGCGTATATATATATATATATATTATATATATATATATATATATTATATAAGGGATATGTTGATTATTCTTGATTTCTTTTTGATTATTGATGCTATTGTATAATTTGCTCCAATAACTTATAACGTGAAAGAACGTACCATTGAGTAATATATAATCAATGCAAGGATGTTCAGTATATCATCCAGTAAATTAGAGTTCAAATATATCAATATCAATTTTTTTATAATACAATATATATATATATATATATTGGAATATAGAAAAATGATAAAATATATTTCGGCGATTTAAAAATTTTTTAATATATTGAAAATATTTTTACTACATATATATAAGTGTAAAATAATTCAGAAAATAAATTTAATAAAAATCTACATACCAGCTGTGTGCATGTGTGCAATTGATTTATTGAAATTTATTTACGGAAGTATTTTGCATTTATATATTTATAGTGTGTGTAGTTGTAAAATGATTAAAATATTTTCAATATCAAATTTTTAAGTTTATCGCCTATTTAAAAAATATATTTCTATGATTTTCTATATTCTAATATATTATAAAAAAATTGATATTGATATATTTGAACTCAAGTTTTTTACGTGATTAAATATTCTTGCATTGAGCCATCATACGTTACTCGTAAGTTCTTTCATATCTGTATATATATATATATATATATATATATATACACTTATATATATATATTATATATATAAGTTGGGTGCGAGAGAGAACCACGTTTTTAAGGAAAGAGAAGGGTAGATTGTTACCTCCGTTCGCAATACGCAAACGCGAATTAGCGAAAGCACCAATTACATTTCCAGTTTCAAACGGCGCGGTGAGCGTGACGTCACCGTGACGTCATCTACGTTTGCGCATTGCGAGCATAGGTTAAAAGCTATCTTTCTCTCTCGCACCCAACTTGGACACAGATTTTTACCATGGAGAACAATAGCAATTCTCCTTTCAGATATATATGTTCTAAGGCTTGCCCGTAAGTGAATGCGATAGAGGAATAGAAAAAGAACGCTGCGTATGGGCCCTTGCTGTCTTTGTCTAATCGCGCATGCGCATGGCACACGTCCCCTTTTTCTCTCTGCTCATCTCTATGCTTGCTTCTTCTTTACAAATTATACACTTTTTTGCCACTTTTTCTTGAAAGTTTGTTATATTAACTTGTTATAAAAACGTAAATCTTCTTCTTATTCTGCTAACACTTGAGCAAAGCAAAGCAAGCACGAGAGCTATAGCCGAGCCTGCCGAGAGCAAGATATGTCTTTGCCTTCGCTGAAAACAGCTATTTTTACACAAATTGAGGAGAGGGGATAAAACGCTAGCTTTTCTTCGCACCATGAAATTGCACCTGTAGGCCGGATCTACAACAGGTGTAGTAAGCTTTAAGAAATTCACCAATCACAGTCAGGAATGAGAGGAATAATCAACTGTGATAGATCAATTTCTTAAGAGTCGGTAGGACCCAGCGAGAATCGATGTCAATTCGACATCATATTGAACAATTTGATATCGATTCGATGACGAAACGATATCGTTTTGACCATCATTTCTCGCTGGGGATACACACGATGAAGATCTCTCGCGGAGAGCCGTGAATTATGAATTCGTAATTTTCATCTGGAAATAATAGTTTATTTATTATTAATTAAAATAGATTGAGCATATAGTTAGCAGACAATAATTCGAAAAAACATTTTTTTTTTTAATTAACGTAAAATTATTTGGGAAACACGTCTGTAATAGTTTTACGTTTAGGAAATAATTATTTCACTTGGAAATCAAGTTTAAAGTACGCTTAGTGGACATCGATTGGACAAATTTTATATTTTTTATTATTTATTTTTATTTTTAATTTTTTTTATTGCTATCGTTTGGGAATTATTTGGGCAAATTTAGGAATACGTTTGCATAATTTAGAAACTCATAGTTTATTTATAATTAGAAAAAATTAATTGAGAGCAAATATAATATATGCGCATTTCCCAAATAATTTCATATCAATTTATATAATAAAGTAAAAAAAAAAAATTTTTTAAGTTATGTTTGCTAACTATTCGCTTTCAATTAATTTTCTCTAACTATAAATAAACTATGAGTTTCTAAATTATGCAAACATATTTCTAAATTTGCCCAAATAATTCCCAAGCAATAGCAGTAATAAAAAATAAAAAATAAAAATAAATAATAAAAAATATAAATAAAATTTGTCCAATCAATGTCCACTAAGCGTACTTTAAACTTCATTTTCAAGTGAAATAATTATTTCCCAAACGTTAAAACTATTACAGACGTGTTTCCCAAAAGCAGAGTCTACAATAGCAGCAGGAGGTCGATTGTGTAATTTTTTCTAAAGTAAAAATGTGAAAAGTGAAAAATTTCTTCCAATCACACATCGATTTTATTTTAAAATCAATGCGTGATTGGTGGAAATTTTTCACTTTTCACGTTTTCACTTTAGAAAAAGTTACACAATCGACCCCCAGGAGTACAGAGGGCGTCGATTGTGTAACTTTTTCTAAAGTAAAAATGTGAAAAGTGAAAAACTTTTTCCAATCACACATCGATTTTCTTTTAAAATCAATGCGTGATTGGCGAAAATTTTTCACTTTTCACGTTTTCACTTTAAGAAAAAATTACACAATTGACTTCCAGAGTACAAGAATAAGCAGTAAGCAGTACGAAATGGGATTGGTTCATTCCGTTACTCCCAACGAAATGAACGAATCCCATTTCGTACTGCTTACTGCTTACTCTTGTACTCTGTACTCCTGTTGCCATTGTAGACCCCGCTTAACAACACCGCTTAACACTTACAAATGACTTACAAACGATTAAAATGAAAATAAATTCAAAAAGTCAAAATCGGGGGATCAAGGTCACGGAGCTGCTCGTGCGACCCGCGGGGGAGAACTGTGCCTCTATACTTATCTATATTCTTTGGTATGGATGTCATTCTCACCACTTGCATTACTTTTTCAAGTCATTTTGTATGTTAGCAGTCTAGTGTTATATAGAAGTCTGTGACCAGAACACAAACTTAACACCAGCTTAACACCGAACAGACCTGAGGTGTCCAACAGAGACAAACATTCATCGGAGAAATTGAAGAAAAAGAATAATTCGTACCGTCATTCGTATTTTTCTTCATGATGCCGATTAAACAGACGCTGACGTGTTCCTCGAACCACAAATGATTTCTACGATGAACCAACATCGAGAAGTAAAACATTTTAGTTGCCTCAGAAAGCGTCTTAACCTATCTTCATCTTTGTCTATTTGTAAAAAATTCTCAGGTGAGTTGCATCGCGTATCGTAAAAAACGTTCGATAGTTAACTTTATACCTCTTCTATCGGAAAATTAATATTTATTTGTCATTTTATAGTCATTTTAATATGTATCTTGTTATTACATTTCCATATTATTTTCCATCTTTTTTTGTAATATTTTATTATGCGATTATGTGAAAATCACGTGGAAACGTACTTGCATATATAAATATTATATTAGGATGCCGTTAAGTATAATATATATATATATATATATATATATACAGAATGTCCGATATTTCGTGACCCACCTTTCATGGGTAGATAGAGCATGTTAAACTGAATAGAAAAGTCCTGTATTATTTTGTGCGATATTCGCAATAATTATTGAGTTATTTATTAAAATATCTAAGTGAATAAGCGGGTGGAAAGCCGCTTACTGATCGAGAGGCGACGTCATACAGCAAACGGCGAGCAATGTAGCGGCGCCGAAAAGTAAAATGATACGTTTGATACTCAGTGACATGTAACAAATAAGCCATCCGGCATGCCCCCATCGAGTCCGGTCTATCGCTTTCCATCCGTTCATTCGCTTAGATATTTTAATTAATAACTCAATAATTATTGAATTTAAAATGGTATAAGATTTTTCTATTCAGTTTAACGTGCTTTACCTGCCCACGAAAGGTGGTCCGCGAATTATCTGTTTCTATATATATTTATATTTTCTATATATATACACACACACACACACACACACAGGGTCATTGAAAAGTATTGGACCCCCCCTAATATCTTTAGTTAGAATGCATTTTGCCTCCTATGTTTTATTGCATATTCTTATAGCTTATCTCGAGAGCTTTCCAAAACACTATAATAAAACATTTTTTATTAAGTACTTTTTGAATTATACAGGTTTGAAGTTAACAAGGTTAACCTGTATAATTCAAAAAGTACTTAATAAAAAATGTTTTATTATAGTATTTTGGAGAGCTCTCGAGATAAGCTATAAGAATATGCAATAAAATGTAGAGGGTTCCATTTACAAAAATTAGGTTGATCGTGAAATGATCTTGAAGGACATGGTCAAGGTCAAAGTCAAGGTCATCATCTTACTCCGTTTGAAACCATACAACTTTGCTATTGGACATTTTCTCCAAAATGCATTCTAACTGAAGATATTAGGGGGTCCGATACTTTTCGATGACCCTATATATATATATATATATATATATATATATATATATAGAGAGAGAGAGAGAGAGAGAGAGAGATTTTGTTAAATATAATGTGTATTAAACAATTTATCAATCGATAATTGTTTTTAATTTTAATATAAAATATGTACAATTTTGAGTCAATTTATTAAAGACATATTAATGATATACAGGATTTGCGAGCAAACTTCTAGATAAAATATTTGTTTATTTTGAGGTCCTAAATTCGTATTTTAATTGGCTATTTAACTTGGAAACATCCTGTATATCAAATAATATTAATGATAATAATAATACAAAATAATATATATTACTTCTAGTATTATACACAAAACATGATGTCCAATGGCATTTGGAGCCCAACTAAGCAAATCGAGAATAGCTCTATGGCGAATAATGTGCATCACCCAACATCGTCAGCTTTGAATCCACTTATGAAGTTGTCCTCCTATTTTCTGGCAGTTCGACCATGGTCACTCAGTGCATCCCTAATGCCAACGCTTCTTGGATCTGCACTTGCGTATCGACTTACAGGTCTAGCAAGTTTCAGTTGGATAACACTGATCCTTATCGTACTCATTGTACTTTGTGTACACGGTGCTGGTAACGTAGTGAACACCTATTTCGACTATGTGAAGGGTGTCGACAGCCGAAAAAGCGATGACAGAATACTGGTGGATCATCTATTATCCAAGGACGAGGTGGTCTCGTTGGGAGTTTTTTTATATACAACCGGTTGCATGGGATTTGTCCTATTGACGTTAGTCTCCCCCGCGAAGATGGAACATCTGGCACTTGTGTACTTCGGAGGCTTGTCCTCCTCCTTTCTCTACACAGGAGGCATAGGATTGAAATACATCGCTCTGGGCGATGTACTTATTTTAGTTATATTCGGTCCAATCTCGGTTCTATTTGCGTTCATGGCGCAGACCGGTCACGTTGAACTAGGGACGATTTATTATGCTATTCCGCTCGCGTTGAACACCGAAGCTATTTTACACAGCAACAACACGAGGGATATGGACAGCGACAGAAAGGCGGGGATTGTGACACTAGCGATTTTGATAGGCCACACCGCGTCCCACGTTTTATATGCGTTTCTACTGTTTACACCATATATAATTCTTATAGTATTGGCATTAAGATATTCAGTATGGTTTTTACTGCCGGTTATCACTCTGCCGACCGCCTTTAAGATAGAAAAGGAATTCCGAAATCCACATAAAATTCAAAATGTGCCTAAACGAACAGCCAGATTAAATATGTTTTTAGGTATTTTGTATGTTATCGGTTGCCTGCTTGTGAGCTCACTTCCTTATCCATAATAAATATATTTATAAAGTTTAGACATTAATCCTGGGTGTGTTATTTTTTTCTATTTAATTTATTTAATACTTCTCTTGACGAAATTTACAATTTTATTTATTTTTTCTCTTGTTGATTAAAACCTATACGACCATCTTATATGCATACTAATTTATACTTATCTGTTTAATTATATTTCCTTTATTCGCAAAAGTCGTCCAGGATTGATGTTATTGGATGTAAAATTAGAATTGATTAATATAAGCTCATTAAAAAAAAACGATACAGTATCAGTAGAAAGAAATGGAAAAGAATTGTAAAACTTTAAATGCTTATAATAATAGAAACTAATTATGATATCGAAATAATTAACATCGAAATTTTCTTAAAAACAGACTTTGAGCTTTATTTTCTTTTCTGACCGATAATATATATAATTATTAACCGTATTAGTTATAAGCATTTAAAGTTTGTATAATTTTTTTCTACTTTTTTACTGTTATCATTTTTTTTTGACGAAGTACATGGGGCATTCCATGTAAAAAGGGTCGAGCTAAAAACGTTTGGGTTTTTTAAAATAATCATGAAAATGTGTTATAGTGCATATATTATATCAGATTTAAAAAAAAACTTAAAAAATAAGTATTATATGCTTTACATCCAAGCCTTACGAGGAATTCATTTTAAAAGAATTTAGTTTTGACAAGAAACAAGATTATTTTCGAAAAAGAAAAATAAATGAGTTCAAATAATATAAAAATATTTAGAAAAACTTCAAAATTATTTTTTGTTTTATAACTATTTATGTAATATTATTTATGTAGTATTAAATAGTTTGATTAATTAAAAATTTGATATCATTGAGTTTTTAGTTAAAATTTGACTGAAATTCCCATTTTATTTCCTTTGTGGTATCATTCCACATATATTGAAGTATTTTTGAGAATTTAAAAAATTTTTTAAAGTGGATATAATTTGTCGTTTATTCAATTAAAACTAAAAAACTGTTTTTCATACTTAATTTTTTTTTTACTAAAATTAACTTTCATCCAAAAGTACAGGAAAAATCCTAAAGAAATGTGTATAAAAATTTGGTATATTTTGTAATTTTAGCTACAAATGTCAAAGAAAGAAAACCTATATTTCAATATCTTAGATGAAAGGCATATAATACTTATTTTTTTAAGCTTCAACTTCATACAATATGTACATTAACACGTTTTTATGATTATTTTAAAAAATCCAAGCAGCTTATTTTTAGGTGAAACGCCTCATCAACAGCTATTAAATTTTATAATTTTATCACAAAATTTATCTGAATTTTTGCAAATTATGCAATTATTTCAAATTATAATTAACACAAGAAAAAAGGATTAAATAAATTAATTAAATATTTATGTTTACCTCAAGTACAAATCAATTTATAGAATTTTGAATATGTACATGCGTTTGTCACAAAATTAGATCTCTGTGACATCTTTTAATATTATTTTATAGTATATTATATTGTTATATGAGCTTTTGTGATATGATAAACAAAATTCGCAAATGTCAGGGCTTTAATAATGGAGGAATATTACTCGTTTATGTTTTTTTTTTATTTTTTAAACATTTAGATATCTACACAAGTCAACTTTTTATAAAAATAATCTCCCAAAATTTAAATTTCTTAAAATAAATTTGAGTATAAATTTCGTTTAAATTCAATAAATACGCAAATTTTGTGTATTTTGTTACATATACGTGTGTCAAGAGAGTATATATACATATTTTGTTAAAACTTTAAATGTGTTTGCATATTATTTATGTTATAACTTACATATATAAACTATACATATACATACATACATATACATGACAATTCACACACAGAAGGAAATATCAATATTTTAGAAGATGATAGTATCAGACACACACATTATGAGAAAAAAGTTTACATGAACATGTATTATATTCTTAATATCATATTTGTATTCAGCATAGGAACTTTAAATTATCGACCAAACTAGCAAAAATCAATTTTATTAATCTTCATGACGTTTCGATCATGTAATTGTGGTCTTTATCAAGTGAACAATAAATCAAATCATAACAGAAGTTCACAAGTTGACAATAACAATAACAAGTTATTGTCAACTTGTGAACTTCTGTTATGATTTGATTTATTGTTCACTTGATAAAGACCACAATTACATGGTCGAAACGTCGTGAAGATTAATAAAATTGATTTTTGCTAGTTTGATCGATTATTTAATTTTCTTATTTATTGACTAGCAATTGGAAAGAATTACATTTATGTGTATTCAGCATGTTTAAAAATTTGTGACAATTTATTAATCCTTCAAACATTTATAAGAGTTACTGTCTTAAATAATTGTTTATTTGCTATATTTGGTTCAATTAATTGTTTGTGTATACAAGTACATAGAAGAAGATAAAATTGTATATATATATTATATTCAAATAATTATATCTTATAAACTATTTAGAAAATCAGACACATGTTCACACATGAACTTTTGTTCTCACAATAATTGATATTATCACTTATCAAAATAGTGAGCCCTACAGCACGATATATTAATATGGAATATTGCGAGAATATTGTTTTGCAAGATTGGAATATTGAATGGAATATTCCTGAAAGCTTGCAATAATATACTATATTGTGCAATATTTCTGCAATGATACCGATATATTTCTGCAATATGAATTATAATATTTATAAAATATTGCTGAATATTTCTTATTTTTTATTTTAAAAATTAAACTGATAAAAATAATATTTATACAATATGGTTGCAATATTTATAATATGGCGCAATATTGAAATTATGTAATATTTTAGCAATATTACGTGCTGTAGGAAGATTTTTCTTCCTAAATCAGTCTATGTGTGTACACACACATATACATATATAATACATATGCCCGCACGCAAAAATACAACACGTCAATATATATGTATATATAAATATATATACATATATATGTATGCAAGAATACTTGAAATATTTTTTACGGCTTTTTTTACTAATTTGTCAATTTATACTTAATGAAAATATCAATGAGTCATTTGATGCGTTTTTTAATTTTTTAACGTCTCTCTAACTAAAATTTTATTGAAGTAAACGATATAAAACTATAAAGTCACCAGATAATAATTAAAAAATGGTAATAATTCAATCGACCAACTTTAGCAAATAAGTAATTTTATTGAATATTCACAACGTTTCGGCCGTAAGTTTCGGCTCTTATCAAGTGCTATAATATAATATTAACAATTATTAGAAAAATAAAAATAATAATAATAAAATATATAGAAACTTTCACACGTTAATACGTAAACATACCTATGTTCTTAAAACAAAGTAGATCACAACTTTTTTAAAAAACAAAAATTCGATCTTAGAATATGATATGATATAATAACATGATAGTATGAAAACGAAATCCAGAGAATTCCAAGATCAAATTTTTTTTTTTAAAAAGTTGTGATCTACTTTGTTTTAAGAACATAGGTATGTTTGCGTATTAACGTGTGAAAGTTTCTATATATTTTATTATTTTTATTTTTCTAATAATTGTTAATATTATATTATAACACTTGATAAGGGCCGAAACCCATGGCCGAAACGTTGTGAATATTCAATAAAATTACTTATTTGCCAGAGTTGGTCGATTGAATTATTACCATTTTTTATTTAAGTAAATTTTCATTGTGAACAATTTGATATTTTTTTTATTTTCCACAAAAAATCTTTTTTTTCAGTCATCTATAACTCGATAATTATTCGATAATTAGTCGACATTTTTGTTAAGAAAAAAATCGATTTTTATTTAATAAAAAAATCAATTTTAAAGAACATATATGTGATGATTTTGAGACATCTTGTGTATGAGTGTGTGTGTAAACTTAATAGTGATACAAATATCACAATATCATATATAGTTGTTTGACAATATATACATATGTTTTGTATTGACATAGTATATTACATTTTCATGACATGTTATATGTACAATTTAATTTATTTTTTATTAAATAAAAATTATAAACTTTTTATTCTATTTTAATTCAGATACGTATATATCTCGATAATGAAGCATTAGACATGGAATAATTTTAATTTTATATTTTTGTTCGATCGCTGTAAGAGATTTGTACAGGGTTTTATTATTTATTTCCTAACTAAAGATAGTTTTTCTTCCTTCTCTCCACTTCCTCTTTTTTTTTATTTTTTCTCATCCCCTTTTTCTAATTACGAATAGATTAAAACTATAGGAAACCAAACAGAAGCTTTTTAGTTTACTTTTACCTGGATTTATCTCAATTTAATTAATTTATAAAAAATTTAAATCATTATGTAAATGTATAAATAGAAAAATTTAGAAAATCAGGAAACTTATAAAATTAATAAGTTTTCTATGTTTTTTATATAAAAAAAATTATATAATTTTCTTATAGAAAGTAAAAATATGTTATATAATATATATATATATATATATATATATATATATATATAACATATTTTTACTTTCTATAAGAAAATTGTATAATTTTAGAATTTTTTTATATAAAAAACATAGAAAACTTATTAATTTTATAAGTTTCCTGATTTTCTAAATTTTTCTATTGTGTATATGTGTATATGTTAAATATATATATATATATTTAACATTATTAAACTTTGTATTATCAAATTATTTGATCTCAATTTATTAAAAAATATACAATTTTATTATCATATAAAATAATATCTTATATCAAAGTCTCTCTTTGCGGTCACATATTTCAACAATTTATTACCCAGATGGCCACAGTAATTATGACATCATTTTGATGTCAAAATGCATCATTTGCCATCAAAATGATGTCATAATAATTACTGTGGCTATCTGGGTTTTTTATCGCACATTATGCAATAAAATTGTCATATCAGAAATATCTATATAATATAAACCAAAGAAAGATATAGGAAAAGGGAGAGCAAATTTATAAGGCTTAGATTAATAAAACAAGTCTTTAATTTTATGCTGTTCCTAATTTTCAATCAAAATATTTTTTATGAAGAATTCTTTTTGCTGTTTTCTCTACGAGAATCTGCGAGATGTACAATATCAAATGACAATACTATTCAAATTATATAAAAAAGCGATGTTTAATTACGAATGTTTCTGCATTTTATAATTCTATGAATTATATATTGTATGGAATATATTATGAAAAATAAATTACTAAATATACAATATTTATAATTTACATTTACATTTTTATTCGTCTAATATATAATTTAATATTTTTAAATAAAATTATAGCTCAATATTTTTCATGGCATTTTTATTTACATATTTTACACATGTTTTAGATATACATATATTAGAATGTGTTTAATTAGAAAATAATATTACGGGTAATCGTAACATATCATGTGTGCATATAAAACTTATAAAACCAAAATACGATTATATATCAGACAGTTGAAAAAAAATCACATGTTCCTCTATACTAAGTTCTCTTCTTCAAACAAGGCATTCTTCAGTTTCTCCTCCAATAATGTATTCTCCAATTGTTGCATTTGCAACTGGTTTTCTATCTTTTTAGACACAGAGTGTACCTCTATGACTCGAGCTTTAGTATTTTCACAAAATTCTGCTAATGGTCCAAATTTCTCATCTAGTACACTATCATACAGGTCGTTTGCCGAATCGTCGAGTCTCTTTCTCTTCTTTTCTGGTTCATTTAACATGTGATGATTATCAAAGTTTGATTCGCGCGACAGAAATTTCGTCAGTACATTAGATTTAAACCACCATGGTAATGTGCGAAAATGTTTGATATGATTTCTGTTATAGACGATTATTTGATTCTTGTCCAGAAGATGTATTTTCTCTTTAATCACATGCAATAGTATGTGTACAAAATTGGATAATTGCAAACTTCCAGAAGTGAGATATAAATCACTTAATATATCGCAAAATACAATGTTACAATTTGTATCAGGCAGTACTTCTTTGCAATACTTTATGGTATATCGTCGTAAGTCTTGTATATCTGTTATTGGCCATGGTGCGCTGAAATAAAAAAAAAGAAAATATTAAATATTAAAATATTAAATAATTAAATAATTAAAAATTAAAATATTAAATAATTATATAAAATGTTAAAATATTAAAAATATCAATGATTTTTAGTATGTGTGTGTGTGTGTGTTGGAAATATTAATTATTCTAACACTAGATTACACTCACTTCCATGATGGTAGCACAAAACTATTCATTATAGTCTCCATGTTTGCTCTGTATTCATCTTGTTTCCACGATTCGTCGAAATGCTCATAACTGCGTGGCATTGTACTGGTATTTTTAAGGAATCTTTTAAATTCGGGTGCGAAATTTGTATACAGCATAGATTCTGGATCTAAAATAATGTCTATCAAATGATTTACGGCTTCATTGTGTAAATCAATTACAAAATTAGGATTTTGTAATGCATTTGACAATTTTTTATTGAACATAGCATCACCCAATATCCTGTAAATAATAATGATAATAATAATAATAAAATAATAATTAGTTAATTTTAATATAATCAAATATTGCTCAAACTGTGACTGTAATGACAAAATATTTCAGAGGTTTGACGAAGAAAAACATCAATTATTTTTAATATTAACTAAAAATTTTAATTTAATTTTCAAATTAATTAAATAAATTAAATTATCACTTTTTTTATATAGTAACGAAATATTAATACTTAATAAAGCTAATAAAGAGCAAAATTATGATGGATATTAGTGCTATTATGGATATTAGATAAAAACTGCAGTTTTTTTAATAACGAGTTACAGACTAATAGCCATAATAATTTTGCTCTTTATTGGCCTTATTAAGTATTAATATTTCGTTATTTTCAAAGTTATTTAAAGATTAATTTAAAAATTTTTTTCGTTACAGCCATAGTTTCAGCAATATTCGACCATATATATTAATTAATAATATTAATCAAATATCCAACTTATTTAAATTACTAAATTAAATATTCGATTGTATTAATTAAAGTAACAATTAATTAATATTTACTTATATTAATTAAATTATTTTTGCATTAAGATTTGAATTAAGGCTCCTTGGTTACCGTAACCATTTTAAATTGTGACGCTAGAAGCTAAAAATAGAAGTAAAAAATACACGTTGAAAATATTTACATGCTACTTTTAGATAAAAATATATTTTGATGAAAGACAACTTCAACTTTAGCACACTTTTAAAATATTCCGAAAACTTTATAATCAATCAACTGCTGTAAAATCAGTGTAATGTCACAATTTTACGGTTATTGGTTGACTATCAAGGGAAAAATAGTTTTTGGAATATTTTAAAAGTGTACTAAAATAAAGTAGCGTTTCATCAAAATATCTTTTTATCTAAAAATGATACACACAAATTTTCAGCATGTATTTTCTCGCTTCTGACGTCACAATCTAACATAAATGCGACTAATACCAAGCCTCAATTAAATACTCAACTATATTAATTAAAATATTATATAGAGGATATCCTGTATAATACAATATTGAAATACGGGATGTCTCTCCTATAGAAAATTGCTGAAACTAATCAGCTGTCATTTTTAATGCATGCAGTTATTGAGAAAACAAAAATTATATTGGAAAGAGGAAAGTCTGCAATTTTTAATGGATATAAATAAAAATGTTTGTATACCAGTTTATTTTATTGATAAAAAGCAATGAAAAAATGCTAATAATCACATAAGCTAATGATAAATATTTTCAATAGCGCCAGATTTAATAGCAGCTATTGAAAGGATCGTCAATAACATTAAAAATGACATATTAGAAAAAGTTTTTACGAGTTTTCGTAAAAAAACAGAATTTTGTACAAATTCAAATGGTGTGCACTTCGAAAATATTTATCATTAGCTTACATATGTGATTATTAGCACTTTCTTCATTACTTTTTATCAATAAAGTAAACTAGTATATAAACATTTTATTTATATCCATTAAAAACTGTAGACTTTCCTCTTTTCAACACAATTTTTGTTTTCTCAATAATTGCATGCATTAAAAAATGACAGCTCATTAGTTTCAGCAATTTTCTATAAAATACTCTGTATAATAAAAGAATTGTAAAGGAGGATATTACCTTAGCCACAGTTCTTCTGACAAACAAATGTTGTATACATTCCACAAATAATCCATTTCCAGTGGAATTGACGGTGATTTGTTCATTGTCAACCATAAAACTGCACTCTGTATCAAATTTAAAATAACTTTTGCAGAAAGATCTTCCTTGTACATAATCGTATATTCCAATATGTAACCAGATTCCAAGAAGGACTCCAAAACCGAAACAATATTCTCATTCTGAAGTCTCAAATTCCCACGACCCAAAATTATACAGGCGAGTGGCATAGGCATCAGTTTATCCCTCGACAATACAATCTTCGTTAAACGTTTGGCGACAAACTTATAGTCTTCCGTAGCATCAGCAATAAACAAAAGCGCGTCTGCCCCGACTAAATTATCCTCGCTGATAAAACCCTCGTGGTGCCTTATGCAAACGTGTAGAGTTTCGTAGGGATTCGATCGATAAGTTTTCAGAATAGGATCCATCGTAAAGTCCTCAGAGTACAGATACTCGTTCATCACTTTCTTATAATGCCACAGGATCGTTCTGTTGGCCAAATCCGGCCAGGAAATCACCAATTTCCAGAACAGATCAGCCAAGAGATTGATGTCTAGCAGTCGCAGATTCTCCTTAATACCAACGTACGCAATAACTTCGACAGGCGCGAGGGTCTCCCTACCCTTCAAATCCTTCAATCGACGTTGCTTCTCCCGCATGTTTCGTATCGCCACCTCCTGCTCCTTGGAATACAACATCCTTGCGTTCTCTTTCACGGTATGTCTCTGCAACCAAACCGGCGTATCTTCTAGCGCCTCCCTCTGTCGTCTCTTCCTCGACACGTACAGCTTCCAAGCATCAAGGCATTTAATCACCACTCGATTTTTTATTCTTGACGCCACAGCTTCTAACTTCCGCTGCCGATCAATTTCCGCAATTAATTCTGCGCTGCATATCTCGCGGAGAACTTCGTCGGTCATGTCGGACAGAATTTTTTCGCTCAATATTTCGTACATTTTTATCTCCTGGACATCCTCTTTTGCGATGATAGAGCAAAACTCATACGCGGTTTCCTCGTACAGGCTGTTGTAAATCTCCTTGGACTGCTCCTCGATCCATTGCATCTTCCTCGCGTGCTCCAGCTTCGCTTTCTCGGCCTCTAATTTCTTTTGTATGATTATTTCTTCTTCTCGGACCTGTTCCTTCTTAGGAGAAATTGGATTCTTCATTATTTCGTTTCCATCGTTTATATTTACCGAATGCTGTGCGGAAAACGGGGTGGAAAGGTAACTGCTGGCGAAAACCGTAGTGGAAGGCGCCATATTTTTAAATATATTCTCCGGTCTTGTTTCCGAGAAGACATTCCGATTTGTAGCTACAGCAGAAGTCTCTACGTTACGTAATGTTTCCTGCTTAGAAAATGTGATGGGATTGTATGTAAACGCGTTATTACTGAAAATATTATTGCTGCCAAAAACTTCAGTCTTACTGTCTTCACCAGTCATTGCATTCTTATTTTCAGGTTGCTTATTGGAAGCTATTTTGTCTGCTGTGGAAAGTTGAGGCTTGCATTCGAATATACTTGGTATTTTTGGTTTAAGCCCGATGGATGTATTTGAAAATTGGAAGACATTCGGCGGGATCGGTTCAGAAACTGATATAAGTCTAGGTACATTTGACGTTGTATTGTTTGTATTAGCGGACTGTTTTTTAATTTGTGTAGAACGAATATCCTTTACAGCTTTCTGGTTTTTGTCCCGGATCGATGGCGCCTTCTTCATCTTCTTCTCCACTCCGAATTCGTCCAGATGCTTCGTAGAAAGAACATCGGTATTTTGATCTACAATATTAATGGATTCAGGCAACAAATAACCATGTGTGTCGAAGCTGTCATGTGGTTTGTGATTTTTGTAAGTCTTCTCTGGCATTTTTTCCCCAGCGATGCACTGTCCAATAGTGAAGTTCAAAAATATTCTCTTGGATTCTATCAGATGGTAGGCTCTACTCTGTTGTATACTTGTTGCGGGCATGCTAAAGTTCCGGCGATTTAAGAGAACATACAATTCATCGTTGGATAAGTTTAGTCCTACTTGTTCGCAGAAATATTTAGCCTCGTTCTCGTTCTCAAAGCCAAGGATATCCATTAATTCGTACAACGGAAAGGCTGTCAAAGTGCTTCTGCAATACGCCTTCACCATTATCGAGAGGGCTTTCAGTCTAACTTGATTGAAGTATCTTAACAGGATACAAGCGTTCAGATAAGTCGTCTCTCGCACAAGTTGAAAGAATTTGTAATAATTATTCGAGTCCAGCGCGAAGTAGGTTTTGATGGCGAATTGAATTCTTGGCGAATTCTGCACCGATTTTGGCAACTGTTGCAGGTCGTACAGAAAATTGCCGTTGTTCAGATTTAGCAAAACAATATACGCTCTAAATTCTGACTCATTCTCGCAGATGATGCCCTTCAATCTTAAGTCTTGATACATGTATTTCAAGGTCTGCAGACATTTCGTTAGATTCTCCGAATTGATTTTCTTATCGAACACAGACGCGTCCTCTGCGCAGAGTCTCTCCGAACATACTATGTGAAATCTGGCGCACTGCTCTATCAATTCCACGCTTTCCGCGCAGCATAGCTCCTGCTGAGTGATATCCTTTCTGATCCCCCTCGTCCTGTCCCAGAGAAAGTGATACCACTCTGCCAGATTCGTGTCCTCTTGCTCGCAGAGATCCATTATCTCGTGCAGCAGGTAGCTCATGGTCATTTTCAACGACCTCACCGGCCTCAATTCATGGGGCATCGGCTCCTCCTGGTCCGCGGAGGATCTAGAATACTGTTTTACGGCAGTCGCGTGATTTATTTTGTATTCGTTACCTTCTAGCTGCTCGTATGGCGCGATTTGCCTCTGCGACTCGCGCATAAGACGCTCCTTTTCTGGGCACATGTCCGGACAGATGCCGCTGGTTATCTTAGCTGACGCAAGTGAGGCTGGCTTGACTCGTTTCGTTCTCATAATGCGGTCTCTGGCTTCCAAGATCTTGTATTTGTCCTCGCTCGTGAGAGCGACTTGACGTATTATACTTTGCAACTCCTCCATAGAGGTATTAGGCATAGGTTTGATGATCTGACTCTCGGTGTCGACTTTTTCCATCTTTGTAGACGTTTTCTCAAATTTACTTGCCATTTTCTCATAAGGCAACACAGTTTTCCCTACCGGTGCTCTGATCTTTAATGGAAATAGTGTACCTGTATCAGACATTTTGGCTTCTTTGTCAGAATGCAAATTATATTCTAAATTCGACATGGCTTCTAATTCACTTTTTATTTCATCATCAGCCGCTTTAAGCAGATTCGTCACTAAATTCTTATGCATGATTTTCTTTTTAGTCGGCACTTTCGCTGGTGATTCCAATTTCGTCCATTCCACGTGAAATTTTTCGCCCATGTAGTCGCTGCTTCCGTAATACGCGGCATTCGCCTCTATTTTTGACGTGTAAACTACTATGATCATGCGTTTTCTCGGACGAATTGTTATTTTCACGATACTCCCATATTTTATGAAATATTCCTTTGCTGTTGTTTTAGTTAGCAGAGATTGAGGAACATCAGAACATGTTATCGAGTTGTCTATGTTGATTTTAGTAATCTGCGACCTGGAATTCTTCTTCAGCTGCTCAAACGCACCTGTATCTTTAAGAGCATTGGCAAACACATTAAGTGCAGGTCCATATGTGTTTCTAGAAATTCTCGGCTTATATCTGTTAGATTTACTGGTTTGCAGACTCATACTTTTATCATATTGGGATAGTATCGTAGGTGCAGCAAAAGTAAATACATCCTTCTTATTGGAATGAATGTCGAAAACGTGATCCGATTCCATGCCAAAATTAATGACTCTTGAGGGATGAAATATATTACTCGGTTTGGAAAATACAAAAGGATTGGCGACCGTGCTTGCTTCAGAAATATTTTCTTCTATGTTGTCCATTTTATTTTCATTCAATTAATATTTTTTCCTTTTATTTTATTCCTGCAACATATAACATACGTACATATCATCGAATAAAATTATAATTAATTATATTATCATTAAAATTTAAGAATCAAAGAATTAAACTAAATATATATATTTACCTTTAATATTTCTTCACGACATATGTGTAGGTTTTATCAATGTAATTATTATTGTGTCCTTTCGTTTGCAATAAACTCTTTACGATCAATTTACAATTATAAATCTTTAGAAAATTATTTAACGATCAACAAGAATATTTCTTTATTTGTTTATTAACCTCTGCGAGAAAACTTCGAACTTCGAACTAATATATCGAACTAGAACTAGAAACCTCACTCGATGACAATTTCAGAATTTTACCAACGCTAAAGCAAAGAATATAGACGAGTATAGAAGCAAGGTTCTCGGTAGAGACCTATAATAAAGGTGCAATTTCATGGACGCTAGAAATCAGCGTCAAATTAAAATCACTAGACTTTCTCCAGGGGATCGATTGTCTACTTGTGTCGATTTTTCTCACTTTTCGCACATTCATTTCACGTAAAGAAATACACGCGATTGGCTATGAGCAAGGTGAAAATACGATATCCCTAGATTCACGGGAGCACAAACCATAGTGAACATTCCGTAAAGCGTATATGCATGCATATATGTTTCAGTAATATTATCTTTATAACCTCTGCAGTTTGAACGGTGTGAATAAGCATGAATGTTACAGAGAAACAAAAAGAAATTATATTAAATTTTATGAATAAACATTCGGATTTTGGTCGGGGGCGGATAAAATATAATAATAAAAATAAGCGAAAAATGCAAAAAAAAAAAAATAAAATATGAAATATATAAAAATTACATTAAAGATATATGAAATTATATCATAACAAGTAAAGAGATTATAATTTAAAATATAGATAAATATTCAATGTGTATATATATATATATATATATATGCAAATTATAATTTAACATATACTGCAAATGAAATTTATAATAAAAATTTATTTATACTTGTATAGTTTGACAAATGTAGTCTCTGGTGTATCAAACGGATCTAAATAGTATCTCTTAATTGCCTTCTTATAATATTTTGATATTTTATTTGTTGTCTTTTATTATTATTATCGTCGTTTTATATTATCATAGCAATAAAATAATTCATCTTACATACATAACTTTCTCGAGGTATGTGTGATATACAGGATATTAAACAACACTACGATTTTGACGTTATTTGACACAGAATTTCTTGCCAAACAGTTTCATGCGAATTAATTCGTATTTTTACTATGATGAAAGTTACCCAATCAAGCAAGAGCTCACTTTTGTCATTTTCACCATACTTTAAAATATACAATCGATCCCCAGATTCGGCGTCAAGAAAATATAGTGGGGAATAAAGTTCAGACCGTTTCAGCTATTTCAGCGTGCCGCAAATTCAACAGTGAAGAAGAAGAGTTGTTATTTTTGAACATTATTCACCTGCCTCGTACGTTCTAGCATCCTTGCACGATATTTCTGTCTGTAAGCCATTGGCCTAGTTTACATCAAACACTTGATACGCGTATCAATTAGTGTATTTGAACTGGTCAGCCAATAACTGAACCAATTTACTAGTAATTTACTATTTGATACGCGTATCAAGTGCTTGATATAAACGAGGCCATTATATTCTCTATTTTATCGGCGTTTTACGACGCGCATATTTTGCTACTACTTCTCCCTCCATTAGACAAGCGACAAATTTAGTCACGTGATCTCCGTTTGACGCTGGTTTCTAACGTCAATGAAAACTGCGCTTAAAGGTGTCTTTTCACGAGCCGCTGAAACCAATTGTTTGGGCGACAAAACAATCACGTAACAACTTTTGTCGCTGAATTAAACAGCGATCATTTTTGTACATGAAAAGGATAGGCAGCGCGACAGAATTGAAAGTTAAGCGTTTAAAGGTGCAATTTCACGTGCCGCTAAAACAAGTGATTGAAGCGACAAATTTGTCGCTCGTAATCCAGCATCAACAATTTTGTAGTTTAAATCAGTTCAACTACAAAGCATTTACTACTTAAACGCTTAACTTTCAATTCTGTCGCGCTGCCTATCCTTTTCATGTACAAAAATGATCGCTGTTTAATTCAGCGACAAAAGTTGTTACGTGATCATTTTGTCGCTCAAACAATCGATTTCAGCGGCTCGTGAAAAAACACCTTAAGGGTCGGCAGGCGACATGGTGGAGACGCCTATCGGCCGGCCGGGAATTAGAGATTCTTATATTCCAGATATTAGCGAAACTACTGAATGAATCTTATTAAATTTATGATATTCTTAATCAGTAAGCTCAAATGCAGTCCGCCAAAGAGTTATTTATTGAAAAAAAGATGAAAATAAAATTTATAATATAACTTGGAGGAATGCGCAGCTAGTAACGGGTAAGGTTGGGTTAGCCAGGAGTCCGTATTTTATTTATTATAAATTTTTTAGAGCAAAAATGCAAAATCCGACTCTTTGGCGGACTACTTTATATCAAGAATATATTAAAAAAAAAAAACCAAAGTTTTGTCACTTATTTTATGAAATATCTGGACGATAAGATTCTCACTAGATTCATAAGGAGCAGGGGAAATTTCCGTGGTAACATACTGACAGCTAACAGCTTGACAAGGAGAGACTATCATTCTGTCTTTGTCTCTCTTACATCGCATATGTAGTAACATCCATGTAGACACAAACACTAATGCGTTGAACGAATGCGATTATTGGGAGATATCAGCAAGAACCGGTTTTCGTATTATCATTGTTTCTCTGTATATGTATATTATATGTAAAAGAACAATAAGAATAGCAATAATTCTTGCCTAACATTATCTTCCAATTATCGTTTCGTGTACGCAATATATATTTCACATTATGCATCTGTAACAAATAATCGAATGATTTATTTAAATATTTGCATATAATCTATATAAATCTATATAATAAATAAATGTGTAATAAATTATCGAATGATTTATTTCAATATTTGCATATAATCTATGTAAATAAAATATGTACAAATAAAATAATATTTATGCAAATATTATTTTATTTGTGTACATATTTTATTTATTGTATATACCCAAACAACACCAAGTCCAAAATTGGCGCGTAAGATATCTTTAAGATGTCTTTTTGATATCATATCATAAGATAGTTGTCTTAAAGATTTCTTAATGCTATCTTATGCGTCAATTTTAGACTTGGTGCTGTCTGGGTAGATAATATGCAAATTAATATGCAAATAATAAATCATTCGATATAATTTGTTACAGATGCATAATGCGAAATACATATATTGCGTACACGAAACGATAATTGAAAGATAATGTTAGGCAAGAATTATTGCTATTCTTGTTCTTTTACATATGTGTGTGTGGGTGTGTGTGTGTTTACAAAAATGTAGATTATTTCACATAATGTGTTTCAAATTATTATGATTTATATATTTGTAAATAAATCTATATAAATAATTAAATATTTATGTACAAATAAAATAATATTTATAAATATTTTATTTGTACATAAATATTTAATTATTTATATTAAAAATTTATATAGATTTATTTACAAATATTTAATAAATCATAATAATTTGAAACACATAATGTGAGATAATCAACATTTTTGTATACACACACACACACACACACATTTATATTTATTATATTTTATATTCATTAAATAAATAAACATGGATAAAATAAAAGATATTTATTTAACTTAGTTTAAATTGCGATCCACTCGAATTATTAATTCGTGTTGTTTATTAAATATGTTCAGAAACAATAGCAATTACATATATTAAAATTTTTATTAACTTCAAATTATAGAAAAGATTAGATATTTAAATGTATGTATATTTATATGTACATTGCTTTGCTATTGTTTACTGTACATTGTATACATATTATTATATATCTTTATTCCAAAGTAATTGTACTACATTAAAAACTTTAAAATAGAAAAGATCTCAAAATAATACAATCAAATATATAATTCATAGATGTTTGATTGCATTGGAAAAAATTGCATATATTATTCTTTTATTAACATTTCTTATTATTTATATTATTTTTTATATTTATATTAAATATTTTTTACAATATTTTGTATTAAATATTTATATATAACGATTTTCGGGATAAGAATATGTAACAATATGTTGTAGCGCTTCTATTGTTGTGTTTCCAATAAGCGCAAAAAATTATGATGTTATTATAAGTAATTGATATTTTAATATTATATAATTGACATTGTTTTCCTTTCAGATTTTATAATGAATTATTTCTTTTACTATAATTATATTGATATTATCTATAGAGTTGCTTGTTGCAGATAGATTTGGAGACGTCTGAAGGGCGGATCACTTTCAATAAAGAGGCGTGGATACCATTGAATCAACGCCATATTGCAGCATGTAACGTATGCATAGTGGGGGTTTTAGTGAGTAAGAATCTCACACTACCCCAGAAAACCGGGGTGCCTTTTGAAGGTTTCCCCCACGTAAAAAAAAAACGCTGCTGCCATGTTGCTCTAACTTCAATTAATTAATAATGCAATATAATAATCAACAATTATTTGTATATAATAATATATATAGGTAGTATATTTTAATATATAAAAATATTAAAAAATATTTTTTAAGATTAATAGAGAAAAAGAATGTTTTTTTAAATATATATATATATATATATATATGCATTTATATATATATATATATATATATAAATGCAAAATAAATCCGTAAATAAATTTATCAAGTAATAAATCCGTTGCATGCTTGCAGCTACATATACACACACAAATAGCTGGTATGTTGATTTTTATTAAAAATTTATTTTCTGTATTATTTTGCATTTATATAGTGTGTATGTGGGTGTGTGTGTGTGTGTGTGTGCGCACGCGCGCGTGTAGTAAAAATATTTTCAATATATTTATAAAATTTTTATTGCCGAAATATATTTTTTTATCATTTCTCTGTATTCCAATATATTATTAAAAAATTGATATTGATATATTTGAACTCTAATAATTTACTGGGTGATACATACTGAACATCCTTTGCATTGATCAAGAGACACGGTAGTGTCTCGCGACCAGTTAAGGGCGTAGCGGAGACACCGTGTATCTTAACGCGAGTCGGACATTTGAGTCTTTATAATATTTCGAATCCTCAATAATGGCTGAAGCAATCGAGTTTATACTAGACTTAATCGATAGATTGAGTTCGAATTATATAATAAAAGTGTCTTTATTTCTGCTCTACGTGATTTGTAAGCAGAGATATATAAATGCAAAGTCGAAATATGAAAAATTTCTATTAAG